CTCATCTGCACCAAGAAAGGCAGTGCCAAGAGCAGCTGCCTATGTAGTTTGGAAAATATCCCTGTTTTTCCTGACACCAGCACAACATCCTCTCTTCAGCAGGATGGTCCCTCCCACTTCCACTGACTGACAGCAAACCCAGCTTCTATGAGAAGAGCCACTCCTGCCCAGATGAGCACCTATGAGGCCACCAGGACGGACCCTCCTGAGGGCAGCCTCAGCCCAGGTCACAGGGTGAGGCCATGATTCCACTGACCAGGAGCATCCCTCTGGAGGAAGCACTGCTATCCACATGGTTCAGATCCAGGCTTCTTTTGGCCCTTCAGCACAACAGAACTCTGGTAAATTCATGATTGATAACTGTGTTAATCTCTTGCCTTGTCAGTCACTATTTTAACTAAAGGGGCAGGTGTGTCTTCCACAAAAGAGGACTTCTTTCCGTTTGGGAGGCCACAGGACAAATATTTTCTGGTATTTAGTGCAGTGCTTCACTCAGCAGGATGCATCACTTTGTGCTGGGGACCAATCCTGAACTCTGGCTGAACAGGGCAGACAGAAAGGAATACTCTTACAGGTGCTTTCCTCCACTTGCTCTAACTGTGAACTGAAGAATTTTAACAGTAATACAGGTCTGTTCTGGAAGTTTAAGAGACATTTTTGTGCCGGTTAAGCTCTCTAGTCTATACAAACAAATAACCACTTAACAAATGGCAGTGGCAATATTTTAGCAGGAAACATTTAAGGGAAAGTGGTGCTCCAGCTTCCTTCTCATACTTAGTTTTGCATTTCCTTGCAATTGCAGCAATTTAGAAGATCCAATGTAAACATTGACTTGGCTAAGTGCTACTGAAGTTTCTTTTTTAAAACCCTCAGTCGACAATTTCTTGAGCATAATAATTTCCCCTTTTCACTGAATACACACCACCAAACTACCACTGAACAAGAAGTGAACTGATTCTTCCACTGTAACATCGGTTACTGCTGGGGCACTTAGATTTTCAGTCTGGGAAGTGCACTACCTGTAAGCAGCTACAGTAATCTTTCTCCGAGATTACTTGATATGAACATACTAAGATAACTTGTTATTTCTCTGTGCATTTCACCATTTCGCAGTGATTAAAAAGGAAACTAGAGGAGGAAGTGCAGAAGAACCACAAAGGTAACTGGTGACATGGCCCCACCTCAGAGGACTCAGCACTGTCAGTGTCTCTCACACTGCAGGTAGTGCTGGTGGCAGTCACCATGCAGAATGTAATGCTTTTGTGTAATGCAGAGATGCTCAAAAAGTAACAGTTTAAACAGATGTTTGTGTTAACTCTGTACCCATTAATTGCAAAGAACCTTTAAAGCAAATACTAATAGGCTTAAAACTAAAAACAAGTACGAGTGTTTTCCTTTTTAACAGGCTGTTTTGTACATGAAAGTACCAGCTGAAAGCACTCTGCACTTCTACTCTATTCTGATTCTTTTAGAATGAGCTATAATTCTTTTTCCCTTTTTACCCGTTGCACCTATTTGCACCCTGATAGGGCAAAATCTTCACTACAACTGCCACAGGCTATTTGTGGACTTAAAAGACATTTGTGTGCATAAATGCACACAGGATCAGAGTCTCAGCCACCATCGTATTGCGACAAGCTCAAAGAATCCAGAACCCTGATCACCTTTTGGTGCTAAACTATGAGTTGGAAAATAAACACAAGGATTTAGAGGAAAGACCAGAACCCTGGGGCTGACGCTGTGACTCTGCGTGAGGCTGTGTTCCCAGGCAGCCCTAGACTCCTGGGAAGAGGGGTTTGGTACAGACCCCTAGACACTGAACTGGTTTATGAGAGTACCCCAAACTGCTTAGTCTTCTTTGCCCCTTTAATAAAAAAAAAGAAGAAAGTCTAGCTAGGAGCATGGACGCAGGGTAATGCATCATTTATAAATTACCTTGTTAGTGCAGAAAACAACACATGGCTCTGCAGCCGAAATCTCCTGCTGCGGACTCGCTCTGTTTGATGGGAGCCCTTCAAAAGCATTGGTGGCTTAATGGAGGCAGTTTGTGGGGACCTCGCTCCGTACCTGCTGTCCCAGTGCCTCGCCGGGAGCTCGGCGGCAGCTGCCGCGATGTGCAGCTGTCTCTGAAGTGGCTGCGTGTCCTCAGCCCCAGCACAGGCAGCCTGCATTGGATCTGTGTTTGTGCCTGAGGCGAGCTGGGGAGCGCAGCTGTGTCCACCCCGCACTACCTTTGGTGTTCGGGCCCCGGCCCCGCGCCGCCCCGACCTGCCCCACGCGCTCCTGCAGCTGCCGCCGCCCGCGCTCCCACGGCGCCGGGCCCGCCACAGCTGTGCCCACAACCTGCCTGCTCGCACCTGTGCCGTGCCTGTCTCAAACAGCATGGCTCGGAGGACCTCAGCCACCATCAGAGCCTCCCGGAGCAGCCCGCGCTCCGAGCCACCCTCGGCACTACCGGGCACATGGCACCAGTGGGACAGGACAGGGAGGCAGGAACAGCTTGCTCTGCTTTGATACTTCATGCCTAAATTGCAACTGCTTGATCAAGGACTCAAATTCAGCAATGAATTCTTCTACAAATGGAAGTACTGAGTTCTTCAACAGTAAAAGAAGGAAGATTAAATAGAACAACTCCATGGCTGCTGTTTCCAAGGTAAGTGTTGCGTGTCTCGCCGAGCACACACATGCACTGACACAAACTCAGGGGTGCACCATGGCATCCCTACCCAGCACCTTAGGAACAAGGAAAAATATGTCATTTTTTCCCTAAGATACTCAACACCATGCAGACAGAAATGGCACTCTTGCAGTGCCACAGGTCACACCCGACCCACCATTTGGTTAGTACAAATCCCACTCCTTTTTCTAAGAGCTGTCTCTCTGTTTTCCACAAACCAAGGTGCTAGCCAGTGTTCCTCCTGTCAGGCCCAGAGAAGTCAGGTGTCTGACTGCACAATGGCTCAGCAAAACCTTCTCTAAAGGCAATCCTTACAGTAATTCCCTGCCTTTTAGGGTCAGAAATCCCCAAAACAGGGCCCGACTGACACTTTTTTTAGCCTTTTCAGGCACCACTTCTGCTGTGTTCCTGTTTACATTGAGTTTACCTGTTAAACTGTATTGTGCCAGGTATTTGGTGTGTAGATTTGCTGTTGTTAATGCTGCTCCATGTCACATGCACCCTTCATGTATACAGTGAATAACTAGCCAAGGTAAGAATGCTAACACTTGGCCATTCTGCTGCTTCCACCAGTTGTCTTAATTCTCACCTTTTCTTCCTTTACAACAGCACTGAACTTCATACCAGGAAAATAATCAAAATTCTCATTACCTCCCATTCTACCACAGGTAACTCCTCCCCCTTAACCTCTCTCATTCTTTTATGTCATCTTTATGTTGTATGTTGCATAAACAAGGTTCCTGCACACTTGTGCTCTGTGGTACTTGTGATTGTGATCTCTTGCCATCCCATTTAAAGGGAAGCATTTGTTCCTGTGGCTCTTCCCAGGTGCTACAACCAGCAAGCTGAGTGATCCCAGGAGATGTGAAATGCCTTGGTGATCAATCAGTCCCCAAGATAACTGCTGACATTCAAAGTGATACTCTTCTAAGGACCAGCCATCAGAAATACCCAGTCTGGCCTCACTTCACTATCAAAGGTGCAAACAGCAGCTCTGCATCCCCATCAGAGCAGCCTTTGGGGGAGGCCTCTTTTTCCGGGGTCACGAGTGTCTCGGGAGAAAGGATGGTCTGAGAAACACATTTCCTCACCTTTTGTTCTGTGAAAGGTGCCTTTGGTATGGAAGTGCAAACCTCCAGGAAGCAACTTGCATGGATGTTACCGGTGTCACATAAATTTGATCCAGTTTTAGCATGCTGATAGGCAGCCTCTGCTCTTACAGCCAGCTGGTTCTGAGAGAGATTTGGGTGTCTGCACAGAGTTATTACCCTGCATGAGGTGTGGGCTGTGTTGCTGTTTTCCAGCTCCCACCACCATTCCCTCTGCCTTTGGGAGATCTGCATTGGTGCCATGTCTCCAGGCCAGTGTGATGCACCTCTCACTGCAGTGATTGCCCAGTGTGTTACTTTCCTGCAGTGCCACACTTTTGTCTCTCTCTTGCCGTGCCCAGAGCTGCCCAGCCCAGCCGTCCCTTGCCCGCCCCGCGCCGCACACCAACCTCGTCTCCTTGCTGGGGCCGCATCAGCGAGACTCTGTCGTACTGCCGCCGCAGCAGCGCCCACAGCGCGTCAAGCCGGCCCTGCGGAGACAGCACGGGCGTCTGTCAGCGAGGAGCACACCTCACCTGCACCGGGACTGGCCACAGGGACCCCAGGGACACCGACTGCCAGGACACAGCCAGGTCAGCACAGTGTAAGCCTGGGCTGTGTCACCCACAGCACGCTGCGGTGCTGCTCCTGCCCACCTGGAATGCCAGGAAGGGCACTCCCTAACGCACCTGCTCCCTGCTCGGAGCCATCTAGGAGTTGTGCTCAGTCTGCCATGGCTTGGACTTGACTGCCACATGTCCATATAGAGTTTATCCCACGTGTGTGTGCTTGTTTTACAGCACATACTCAGGCCCTGTTGGGCAGGACACACACCAGCTCTGCTGCGAGTCAGGAACGTCCTGCTCCACATGGATGGTTCCAGGGCTTGCCTGTGTGTCTGGACAACATGGCTCCAGGCTTGCTGGGGGTCAGAAAGGACTGACAGGGAGTTGGGAAGACAGAAGTATCCCTGCTCCCTGCTACACCTGTGTGTCCTCTGCTCTTACCTCTTAAAGCAAGGTATTTACAGACCCACCCTCAGTATGTCAGAAGCGCTTGTGACGGGTTTGCAGGTGACTCAGGGCACTGTTATTATGAGCCAGGAAAAACGATTCACTTTCCGTCAGATTTCTTCCATTACGTTGTTTTATGTAATTTTTTGCTTTTCTTGGTTTGTAATGAGTATGCGTGTTTAAAACTTAGTGTTAACAGCTATAAATTGTGTAGTTTTGGGCTTAATTAGCTCTACTTTGAGATAAACCAAATGCCAAGGAAGCCCTCATAGATTTTAATGCTCTCACTGTACAATATGTCCCTTTCTGGGGGAAGGCAAACAGAATGTGGCAGTAATGATCAAGTACTGCATTTAGGGCTAAAAACTGCTCCTGCCATTCATGCTGAGTAGGTGTTCCCTTTGAGAATAGCACATCACACTTGAATGGGAACACTTGGAAAATACTGTACAGTTCAGCCTGCGTAAGGCTGGCAAGACAGACAGAATCCAGCCTTTATACTAAATCATACCAAGGACTGACAAGATTACCTTGATTGGCGTGTACCACTTCTGCTGCATGGCTGGTGAGGTAGGCTTTGGTTTAGGTGGTTTAGGGTGAAAAGGTTCTTCTGGTTCTTCTGGGAGTTTCACCACAGCATTCTTTGCTTTTTCCAACCTGGCCCCTTCTTCCGTGGAGCCTTTGTCACCCCAGCGCACCTGAGGAAAGGCAGAGTTCAGGTGTGAGTGCACTGCATGCACAGGGCAGGGAAATGCTGCAAGTAACAGAGGGATAAATTTGGAAGAAGTTCTGGGTAAACAGGAGGGGAGGTACTGAGGAAAACATTACCTCTTCATTATTCTTAGTTAAATATATTTGTAAATGAGTCTCTCAGTGGTGAAAAGTCAAGAAAAATACTGAAAGAAAATTCCACCATGCCTCACACTGGCTGTACAGGAGAAAGGGAATCTGGGAAGCCTTCTCTAAGTAAGGATGTAAAAATCTCATTTCCGGTTCTGATTTATCCTAAAATACCAGATCTTAATCTGGCACCGATCAGAGCTGACATTTCTGTCAGCCAGGTTTCCTAACCCAGAGTGTTTGTTGAGAACCCCAGTGTAGATCAAAGGTGATGCCTGGGCACATTTGAGCAGAAGCTCCTTGAACCTGCTCAGATTTCCACATTATTCTGCAGGAACACACATACTGGAGAACTGCAGGTGAGTAGTCTAACCTGCCTAAGTGCATGTAGAACATGTAGCAATGCGTATTTTAATCACTGCTGCAAGTATATAAAATACATACAAAGAGTTCAGAGAGAAGGAAACCTGTGTTATCTCAGCTGGGCATACAAGCAGGTATTCCCACTTCCATAAGGCTGTACTCACTGCGCTCTGCAGCGGAAATACAGGGAAAACCTTCCCTCTACGAGATGATCTGTCTTGCTGAAGGAATCCTATTTCACCTTGTGACTGGAAGCACCATACAGCAATCTGAGCAGGTATGTTTGCTGTATTGAGCAAAGAAACAAGCCTAGACAAGGCTGTTCCCCTCTCAGCCCACAAGGAACAGCTAAAAGCTATGGCAGGAGTTCGAAAGTCCTTCGTGAAACTGGCCTGGATTATTTCAGCAAGGCTTTCTCTAATCATGCTATTTGCTATGATCTGGCCTGCAAGGAAAATCTCAAACACTTGTGTCTTTCACTGTGATCAATGGTGGTTGTTACATGGTTGTTAGAATGTATTTTAAACACCCTTAAAACCACTTAGAGATAGAAGGTGGATCCCTCACTGATAAAATTACCTTCTCCTTCAGATTAAAGCCATTTCACCCAGAGGAAACCAGGATTGGTGAAGTCTGACAATCCAATTTTGACATAAAATGTATTGACTGTAATGAGTGGGTTCTGGCAATGCCATCACAAAACTTTAAAGCAATGCCAAAAGACAGAGCAAGAAGAGCAAACAGCACTGCCTAAGCTGTGGGACTGCCACAGAGGAGTGAAGCTAGTGGGGAAGGCAGGAGTGGATGGGTAACTGCCCCGAAAGGAAATATAGGAGCAGTAAGGAGAAGGGTGCTGGATCATTTACTCCTTTTCTCCATGCAGGGAAGCTGCCAGAGCAATCAAGTTGCTGGAGGAACAGCAGAAGAACAGAGGACAGAGAAGCAGTGAAAACCAGACAACTGTGTTGCCACACAGACTGCAAACAGGGAAGAAATGTCATGACTAGTGCAGCAGTTTTGTTGCTGGCCACAGCACAGAAACCACCTCTAACTGCCAGGTGAGGAATGACCTCCTTTGGACTGTGTTTGCTTTCTCTCTCTTCTCTGCCCTGCATGCTCTCCTGAGCCAGGGAGAGGTGTGAGGCCTGTCCTCCTCTCCCAGCAGCCTGAACTGAGCCCATTTCCCAAGCCCCTGTCACCGACACTGCAGGGCAGAGGTGAAGCTCCCCAGTCAAACCCTGAGTCACTCACCATGCGGTGCCAACCAAACCTGTCAGTGCTCTGGGGTGCCAGAGAGGGACAGTGCCACAGCCCCACAGAATGGGGGCCCTTCAAAGTCCCATGACTGCACTGGCACCAGTTTCAGATGGTTCACATCTTTAGCCCTTAGTCCTTTACAAAATTCCTACCACAGATGAAAAGCTTTTCTAACCTAAGCATAATGTTCTGTTCTCTTTGTATTTTTGCCATGGGCTGAACATGCATTTCTGTGTGGTCCTGATTTTACTTGTGTTGAGGAGGTTTCTGTCAGGTTTCTGTTCCATTGTGCGAGATCCCATTTACAGACTGGAATGGCTTAAACCCTGGAACCCCTTCTGGAGCCTATCATGGCTCCCCTCAGAAATCCAGACTTGTAATTCTTTGTGTTGGAAAGCATTTGCTAGTTTGCCTCTGAAAAACACTGCACAAAATGGTTTTTTTGTGAAATATGAAGCTCTTCTAAATTAGCAATTCTGAACTGCTGAAGGAAATGCATATAAGCAACACAGCTTCAAACCTGCATGTTCTGCAGGTTTTAAATGCTGCTGCATTTAAAAAGATCTAGAGCAAAACTGATTCTCAGGCCAATACCTTTAAAGTTTCATCAAGACACCTCAGGATGGCCTAGGTGGGTGTTTCAGAGAGAGACAGCTTCCTGGACTGCAGTTAAAAACTGCTTTGCACATTCCATAGAGGCTGACTTGACTATAAAACCTGCCATAAGGATGTGCCCATAAGGATGCACATTCTTCATTCTGTTTTAATTAACATGATGCTATCATGTCTCTTCAAAGACAGGCACTGTTGTCGCTGCGAGTCCCTCTGAGATCAAGCCTCTCCTCAGCGTCACCATTGTCAGCGCATTTGGCTGGCCCACACTTGGGGGACTTATGTTTCGCTGTAATTCCTTCCAAAACATGCAGAAAAGGCTCTCACTCTCTCTTTCTCATTAGCTTGATGGAAAGAGCATGTCTTGAGGCAGCTATTAAAAGTCCCAGTCAAATGGAACTACTGAAAGCTGTTCTTTCAGAGGCAAGGTCAAAATTGCTCGATATGGTAAAGAATTTTCCAGGGCTTATGCCAGTGGGAAGACAGGCACACATCATGGCCTTGTATTTTCAGTACACTTTCAGTCTTTGTTTCCACACTTGCAGCCTCAGAGAGCTCGGGTTTGAGGGTGATCACCAGATTATACCAACCTCCATCCTCTTAATTCCCCCAACTCCTCTTCCACCGTAGTAGGAAGCATCCACTGTAGGCCACTTCTTGGTAGGCAAGGGCTCCTGTTCTTCTTCCTGTCAGTACATTCAGATGATATTTACTTCAAAAGGATACCTACACACACACACTAAATGTCTTTTCAGTATATTTCACTGGAGTTCACAGAGACTAAGTTTGCCGCTGTTGGGTGTGAAAGGGGCACAAACACCAGCAGAGTGCACCACCAGTGCATTATTGCTCCTAGGTGGGAGAGAAATTCCCTTGTGAAGGTTCTTAGTGTCTGGAATGCCAAAGCTGGGGGAAAATGCTGCTCAAGTCCTACATGAATCTTTAGATGTTGTACAAGGGTGATTTAGTCTTTCTGCTCGCACTGCAGAATGGGAAAACAATGTCCAACTCTCTTGGGATAAAGGCTCTAAATGTCTCGGTCGCTATAGGCCTTAATTCAGGCCACACTGAGCTGAGACAGAGCAGAGACCTGGACTTTGGCCACCACGTTCTCAGCAGCACCCAGACAAGGGTGCTGGATGTGCAGAGTGCAGGGAAGCACGGGAGTGGCTCCATGTAAGCAGTGTGATGAGATTAGAACCATCAGACTGTACCTCTTTCGGGGCTGATGGAGGTGGAGGGGGATCCTTGATGACCTGAAAGAGCCAAACATAGAGAAGCATAAGGAGCTGCACTGGCAGCGGCCAAAAGGCAAGAGCACATGGTAAGAGTGAACTGTTTCCACCCATGCCCCCCATGTCTGCTGCCAAACTGGCAGCTGGCACTGCCTGGTCCCCAGGGCATTGACCACTAAGGCCTTCTGGAAATTAACACCATCCATCTGACAGAACATGCCATCCCTGGCCTGCAGACACTCTGGGCAGACGTGTCTGCCACTGCGCTTCCTGGCCGGATGAGCCTCAGCCACTCTCAGTAGCAGCCAGTGCCGAGACCCCATGGAGTTCATTAGCGATCCCGGAGGAAGAGCATCCGAGGCCTGTGTGAGGGCCTGCGTGGCCGTGGGCCAAGCTGCTGCTGCTGCTGCTGCTGCCATGCTACTGGGTAGTCTCTGGCCCAGTGACAAGTGTGAAATGCCTTCTGGCAGCTCAGGCTTCACCTCTGGACGTCCCAGACGCTTCCGTGGCTCTCACAACTGAGGCCTGCAGCTCCTGACTGTGCAGGGCCTGCAATGGACTCGTGCTCCAACACTTCTGACACTGCTGCCAGGATCATCTCTTACACCTCTTTATTTAAATCTCTCCCTACAGCCTCTTCCTGTTCCCTTTGTCACATCCACACTGTAAAGCTCAGGGAGTTCCCAGCACTGACAGTCTCGGTAGGGTAGAGGGAGGCAGGGACCCCCTTCAGTGATTCAGGTGAAAACTGAACTCACAGCTGTTCCTCCACGAGAAAAGCAGGTGTCTAAGCTAAAAATAAGTACTTTGGTGACATCAAGTCATTTTTTGGGCTTGAATATTGCCTAGAAATGACTAAAAACTACCCCATGAATATAAAGGAGTCTGTTTCTGCTATGCCTTTGTATGATACAAACACACCTAAAACTGTCCATGCTGACAAACACCTAAATCTCCTAATACAGACAGGATTAAGTACCTTAATTGAAATATGCCTTATTTTATCCACTCTGTGCTATTAATTATAGAACTTAAATTTACCACTGCCTATAAACAATATCACTGCAGAGATGGTCAGCATAATACATGAAAGAAACAAATTTTTCTTGACCAATAATCAAGACTTTTCTGTCTTGATTTACATTTTAACTCGCAGTGCCACCAAGACAGTTACTGGTTACTGCCTTAACAAGCTATGGACTTTTAGCACTACATACAGGAATTCTGCCCAGTAGGAGAACTAAGTCGTGGCACTCTTGGAACCAGTTTTCCACAGCACTCCAGGTTTAAGATATGGAATTGTTCATAAAGGCAGGCTCAGAGTGCTTTGGGCAGATTGGAAAGTCAGCTATGGATTTTAACCACACTTCTGTTCGCTGCTATGATGTTGCAAAAACTTGCCAGAAATTATTTTTCTTTAAATAGTTCTCCATACTTTTTCTTCCCACTCATCAGGAGTTTCCAGATTACTTAGCAGAAATCAATTGTTTAATTAGTGAAACGTTCCTGAGAGATACCTGGATGCTGAGTAGGATTTTCCAAGTCAATTCAGAGACTGGAAATGGTAAAACAGGACTTTTGCTCTATGAAGGGCCACCTTATCTCACTTAATTCCTGTCCTTATTTCCCTTTTGACTGTCTCTAACCGTTATCTCCAGTAATTTATTTCTCTGCCAAGCCTGCAAGCTGCACAGAGGAAAGGCCTCCTAGGCAGCAGATTTATATAAATCCACATGAAATGGCATTGTCACTCTGCTTTCTATAGTTGTGTTACTCTGAAACCTTGCAGTCTGAGCACAGGTGGCTTTGCCCAGCAAACCTCTCCATGGTGTGGGATGGAGTTCCCATGGGCCCTGTGCCCATTGGAATGTAGGAATCACAATTTCCAGCCCAGAGAATCAAGGGAAACCTGACTTGTTGACTTCTCTGTGGCTTCCAAAAGCAACAGTCAGTGGCAGCTTTTGCTTGACTCCCTGAGCAGAGGACCCTAAACCTGTGCCAGCTCCTGAGCTCCCTGAAGTTTGAGCGGAAACCTGATATGAAGCCAACAAATCCATTAATTAGCTGTTATTTCTAATGGCTCCAGAAAATGAAACTTGTTTTAAAAGTGACAGTGGTGTGAGAAAATAATCTGCTTTGAATAGCAGCTCCTCACCCCGCTGACAGCACTGGAATGTCAATGCCTGCATCCTTATGCTTCCACAGGCTCACACACTCACACACTCGAATCACACATGCACACATAAGGATTATTTTCAGTTGCATGATATTCCAAGTGAGATCAGTAGAAAGCTGTTTATAAAGAATAGAAATCTGAGGCACCTGTGCAGCTCTGCATGGAGCTGCATGCAGAACTGCACATAGGAAGATCACAGTACTGTAAATTAACTTTTCCTGAGCTGGATTCAGATTGTTTAAATGCAGAAGCCTCTGAGAAAACTGCTATCTTATCATCCCCATGGAGAGATGGGCTGCTTCCTCGTTTTGTTTTATCATCAGCCTCTCCAGGCAAGGCTCCATCTCATTTAGAGAGTTGCAAAGAATGAAGGTTTGAGTTTGGAGAAGAGCCGATTTCTTTAAAAAAAAGAAGAAGTTGGTGCTTGAGGCAGCAGTGCCTCTGATCCACTCATTAACACTTCCCCACCGCTCCGTGATGTGGGCATTAGGAGATGTCAGCACGGAGCCTGCAGCCAGCTTGCTGCGATCATATGTTCCATAGCGAGGGACGAGTGACAGAACTGTCACACTGACATCCTGTAAAGGGCGGGAGGAATAAGGAAAAGGAAGAGGAGTCCCCCTGCCCCACCCTGGGAGTGTCCATGGGCCTCACAGCACAGAATGCTGCTGAGACCGAGTCCTGGCCAGGATGGAGCTCGGCCCGTGGGCAGGGGTAACGCACCCGCCTGGCTCCGGACTCTTGTTCTGCCCACAAACACCCTGTACCTCTTTCTTCTGTCAGATTCTGACTCCTCTGCTCCTTTGTCCCAGGAAACCAGGCACTGCCAGGGAAGCAGACCCAGAAGGAAGGAAGAATAGGTCATGCCTGGGCCTAAATGCTGCCCATCTCCTTGAGGACACTGCCCTGAAGCCCAGGACTACAGAGCCACAAGGGGCCCTTCCAGGTGATGTCCGAGCCTCAGGAGCAGGAGAGATGGGCAGGAACAGAGGCACAGCACAAGAACCCAGGGAGCAGCCAGCAAGACCAAAGAAAGGGTCAGTATTTGGCAGTAGGTTCAGTGCAATAGCATGTGGGTTTGGAATTCAGTATCGTAGCAGAGGCCTAAAATTACCTTTTCTTTTAAAGAAACAAATAGTATCCATGAGAGGTGGGAGGAAACCACAGAGGACATGGACACTTGAAGTGCTGTGGTTTTGTATGGCTGGAAAGTAATACTATAGAACTATGCATTGGTTTGTCTTTTATTGTAAGATTTGGGCTTTTGAAACCAGTAAATGTGAAGCTGGTTTGTGAATCGAGGTTAGGCAGTTATTTTAAATTATGAAAATAGGAAACTTTCTTCTTACTGATTTCCAGTGTTCCTTTTCCACAGCAAGGCTCATGATATAAAGTGGGAGCAAAGTGACTGACAGAAACCTCCCTGTATTTCTGATGCTGGGCCTGTGCCGTGGAGAACAAGACACGAGAGAGGCTTTTTATTACAGAAGAGGTCATTGTTCTCGTCTCAGGAACCCCAGACCGTGAGGGTGCAGATGGAGGCTGAGGACTTCCTGCCCTCAGACAGCTTGGGGCCCCCCGGACCCCCCGGATTATGGGAGCTGCACATGGTCAGGTGAGAAGGCCAGTTCCTCTCTGCCCCACATTCCACAGGCCCCAGACAAGACCAGGAATACAGACCAGCCCGGAAGCAATCTCTACTTCCTAAGTCCTCTGTGCTGTTGTTGAGCTGGATGAATAATAAACTTTCCCCATTTAACCCCCCCACCAAGGAATGGCAGGAGTCAGTGCTGAGCACTGCTGCTGCTGGGGTGAGGATAGAGAGCACACTCGGATAAAGAGATGGATATGTGCAGGGATTATGAAGACGATAAGGGATTTCCAACTTGTGAGCCCATAATGGACCACAAATACCAATTTAAGTGACAGCACTTTTAAATTGGTCCTTGATTTCAGGGTAACATCTGCACACCATTATGGTCACCCCATCTCCAGGAACAGCATCATGCTGGTGCTGATTCCCACACGTGCAGCTCACAGGCAGGCAGGGGCTCTGTCCAGAGCGCAGCCCCAGTGCTGGGGCTGGTCTCCCCATCCCCTTCTTGCCTGTCACAAGCCCCCCACCCCAGCTGGCTCATGTCCCGTGTTGCTCCCCTGTTTCCTGCAGGATCTGTGTTTCCCACCCCTGAGTCCCAGTGCGGTGGCTGTTCCCCACGGTCTGTACTTACCACTTTGCAGCACAGGGGCCAGAACCACCAGAGCAGGCCGAGTGCCACCAGCAGCAGCAGCACGAGGACGGCAATGAGCGCTGCCACACCACTGGACTGCAGAGAGAGCAGGGACAGCGTCAGCACGGGCTGCACAACTCTGCCTGGCTCACACGCTCACCCCAAAGCCCAGGATTAGTTCTGCTCAAGTCAGGGATGCATTCTCACGTGAAACCAATATAAAACTGATACTCCTGAGATCGGAATCAGGCCAAGCTAGACGAAAAGGGAGAGTGCATTGACTGCTAAGGAACGAGCCATTAGACACAGGCAGGGGAAGTCTCCTAAACCTGTGGATGAAAAGTGCCCTTCTCCTCCATGAGGACACAGGTCTGTATGGACTGGGGGTGAGGGGCAGATTTTAAGGCATCTCCACTAACAGTACACATCCCAGGCTTTTATGCTGATCGCCCACACACCTGTACAGAGTGTGGCACACTAACTCTCTGCAGCAGTGCTGTTTGAACCTGGAACTCTGCAGGAGTGCTCCTGCTTCCAGCAACACTTGTTGTAATGGAGAACTGAGCAGCCCAACTCCCCCACACCCCACACCTCCAACCCACTTCCTCTGGCACTTTTATTCCTATACTTGGGGTTTTAGAAAAATACTGACAGAAATGCAACAGTGACCTTAGGAAAACAGAAGTTATTCAGACTTCAGGTGGCAAAAAAGGAAAGGAGTGACCCAGAGAAATGCTGAGGCTGGAGTACAGCGTGAGTAGTTCTGTCCCAGTGAGAAGGGTTGTACTGGAGGTGGAACAGAGCCCTATCCCACGACCAGGTCGGTGCAGTGAGGCACACGGGTATGATGGGTGCCTCAGTGCCTAATGCTGTGTATTTTTGTTTGTTTTCACTGCAGCAATGTGTGTTTGCTGGGAGGCTGCAACTTGTAACTCATCTCCCAGCCAGCCATCAGCTGCTCAGCTCCCAGAATTAGTGAGCAGTTCTAGCAGTGACCCATTTCTGGAGCTGCCCATCTGCTACTATGGAAACAGCAGCTCCTGTGTGGAGCTGCCTTTGCTGCAGCACAGGCCAAGAGCAGAAACCAAAAAGAGACAAAAAGGGCTGATGAGAAGCACGGCAGTTCTTCCTGCCCATGCACATCTGTACCCCTCTGCTTCCTGCCAGTGCAGGCTGTGACCACAGAGCAGCACAGTGGGAAGGCCGTGCTCAGCACTTCACTCTGATCTGCTCTGCATCAGGGCTTTGCTGTTACCTCTCCGTGCACTCCCAGCAGCTCTTACAGAGGCACAGACTCACCATGTGCTGCCTTCTCTGCAAGGGCTGAGGTAAAGGCAGTCTTCAGCTGGGCTGCAGCAGGCTCCTGGGTGACTGCCCTCAGTCACCGCGCTTGGGTGTAAGGCTGGGATGTTACCCAGTAAACTATGAACTGTGAATTGGGGAGTGTGTGCTCCTTCAGCTCCCAGCTCAGTCTGGCTTTACCTCCTCAAACCACAGGGCTGCACTGAGGCTCTGATTTCTACTGCACCAGTATTGAGGTTTTAAACGAATAGAAGAAAAATGCCATTTTTTCTCTTTTAGGTTACTGATCTACAGGCAGTAGCAATCCTGTTGGAGAAATGCAGGCTGATGAGCAGAAGGGACTGTTCTCCATGCTCCACGCCTGATGGGAAAGCTGCTCTCAAGTCACACTTCAGATGAGACACATTTAAAGGCACACAGTGCCCATGCACAGCACGTGTTAAACACTGGGGGCTTGTGTCTCCCTGCACAAATCCCAACTGTCCTGCCCACGTCATGGAGAGCAGACATGCAAGACTAGAAAATTGTATTAATCTATTGATTGTATAAAGGTACTAAGTTCAAACAGTCACTCTCTGCACAAGTGTGTGGTTTCTCCCAGAAGCAGTTTTAACTCTTTTCCATAACCTGTGATCAGACTCAGCAGGATGTTCACCCTGCCTTACCCCCAGGTGTAACTGGGGTGCTCCAGCCTGTGCTTGGACTGCCTGTCTCCCCAAATTAACAGAGTTAAGAGCCTACACTCATTACTCAGGCTCCAGAGTTACGGAGCATCAGTACCCTCCTGCAGGACTGTAACCGCCCTCCACACCCAGGCTGAAGTCCCAAGGTTCTGCCTACTCTGCTCCCCCTCCCTCACTCAGGGAAGCCATGCTGAAATGGGACCCCCGGTGACTGTGTCACACCTGCCCCTTGGGACATGGTTATATTTACAGTGAGCAGGTCTCTGAGGGCAGGGAAGCCTCCCAGTATTTTGAAAGCCACAGCTTTCCACAGGGAAGTGGAATCAGAGATTCCCCGCACTGAGAGGTCCCACAATGGCCAAGCCCTAAGAGAAATGGGATTTGGGAATTTTACACAGGATTGTGGTGGTCTTTTACTTACACACTCCGAAGCGGTGATGGTTAACGAGCTGGACATGAAAGACTGGCCTTCCTTCAAACTCACCAAAACCTCCAGGGTTCTGCAAAGAGAGAGAGAAAAAACATGAGTGACCGTGGAGCAGTCAAGAAAGGCTCACACCTGCTCCAGAGGCTCCTGTATTTGAAGCCTCTGCTCCACAGAGTGTCCCCAGAGGGGAAATGGAGGCCTGTGCTTATTCTTGTTTGGGAGTAAGTTTGGTCTCCTTGATAGAGCTATATGAGTAGAGACTATCCCTCCTCTTTTCCGTGCAGCATAAAATACTCCCAAAAGTTTTACATAAAATAAATTGAAGTTCAGCTGTAAAATCGGCATTGTTTTGTCTGTTCCATAACCATCTCTTTAGTCACATGCAGGCATTATGGATAAAAATGTCGGATAATTATAGATGGTCAGGACTTGCTATAAATAGCCCCAAACACTGCATACAAATGGTATGTGGTTTACATTTTACAAATTAACCCTACAAGAAAACAACACATGGTGGATGTTAAACAGAAGAAGACTCTTCTCTGGCTTGGATTCCCAGGATTCAGACAGTTTATATTATGCATAGATGTAATTAAATAAAAATATAGATATCCATGAACTAAAATGATTAATCATTTATACCATTCTTACATGTCATGAGTTTTTATTCTGGCACAAACCCTTTAGTCAATATGGAGTTCAAAGCTATTTTAACTAATTTGGCTAATTTCTTCTTCATTGGTAGCAAAAATGAAGTGAGTTGCTTCCACTAAACTAATTTTTAAATTATCTGTGTCATGAATAATTGATCCAACAGAAAGAATAACTCTAATTTCTTTCTAATTATTACTGGAATAAGTGAATCAGAACAGATAAAAAAAATCTATTCTCTTGCAGCACACTAAATAAAACAAACTACACCAGAAATTTTGTCAGACATGAATTTTTTTAAGTGTGGTGCTTTTTATTATTTTTAATTCCAGTGTTTTGCTTTGGCACTGCAATGAGGAATGCTGAGGGAAATTCCAGCATGAAGATTCTGCTCAGGTTTGGCCAAACACTCCCCTGATTGCAAGGCAGGAGTGTTTCCTGCCTTCCCTGGGGGAGAGCAGGACCCCCCTGTCGAGTTGCTCACACACTCCTGCAGCCTCCCTACTGGCCCTGTGTGCCCTGGCAGCCTCCTGAGTCCTGCCTGGAATGTCACTAGTGAGGAATCAAGCTGTCTTTGCTATGAAATGGAGCAAAACAAAAACCTGCAACACATCTGGATAAAACACGTAACCCCTGCTAAAGAAAAAGATCGTTCCCAGGTAACCTGGGGATCTTGACAAGTCCTTGAGCTCGCTGGGACATATGAAAAATTGGGTATAATAGCAAAGATTTCCAAGTGGACTAGAGCCCATGATTGCACCTTACTGTTTGGAACACAGAGCTGGGATACATAATTGTTAATAATTATGATACATAATAGCTGGGATTGCATTTCCCAGCTCCAGTGCCATGTGCCACCCTGTGCCTGCAGCTGTTTGTCCCCCAGCTCCCGCTGTCAGCGCGCTGACAGATCCCAGGGAGCAGGCTCACTGAGCAATGAGCTCCAGCACAGGCACACTGCGGGAGAACAGCCCCCTGCCCAACCCACTCCTGTCCTGATACACCGCTGCAGGGATGAGCCACTGGAGATGTCACTGGAGTTGATCATACCCGCTCAGTTCTGGAAGCCACAGAGTGAACTCACACAGATAATTACCTCATCTTCAAAAGGATGAACCTGTCAACACACAAAAGCACTCCTTCCCTGAGACTGTCATGGCTGTAGGGGATACCGAACGTGTTCTTTCATTTCTTCAGCAGCCACCTGTTTGCTGGGCTGTGTGTACTTGCCATTCATACAAACACTGCCCTTTAAACCAGAATCCCAGAAGGAAGTGTCCTGTTTCTGCTGCTCATTCACACACAGCCCAGAGACAGACGCAGACACAAACACGTCTAGTGTTTACCAGCAACTGTCCACATGCTTTTAGCTCAGCACTCTGCAGAAACTGCAAGTATTTTGAGAAGAAAACAATATGCAGCAGCCATGCCATTTCCTGGGCCCTTCAGTTCCCACTGGTGACCGTCAGTGTTGTCTGAATGCTGCGTCCCTTCAGCAGAGCTCAGAGCAGCCAGGTCACCAGGGAACATTCCTGTCCCTGCAGCCAGGCAGCCCTTGGGAACAGCCCTGGTTCTCCAAGGAAGGGTTGGGCTGTACTAGTTTTGTACCAGCACAGAACCGAGCCAAGGGCTGAGCTCTGGAAAGCCCTGGAAAGCTCCCACAGCTTCCCTCAAGGCTTCCCAGATAAAACCCCAAGATTCAGGCAGTGTTCTGTGGCACCCCAGGAGCCCTCCCACTGCTGCCTGGCACCAAGGACATGCGGAGTCAAGCAGCTCCCCTCCATGTAGGCAGACAAACAAGGCTGCAGGAGCCAGGCTCCAGGGAAAGGCAGCACAGCCTTTCTCACACCTCCTCAAAACCCCAACAGTGCCCAAAGCCAGCAGCTATTCAGGGCTTGGAGCCAGGACGCTCCTTCCCATCTTCTGCTCCCTTCAGACACAGCACTTGAGTGAAGTGGATTCAAAGAGCTGGCAAATGAGCATGAGTAATTACCGTGCTGTGCAGCACAAACCTTATTTCTCTGCCTCTCCTCAGCCCCAATGTGCACTTTTCCAGTGGTCTATACTTCAAACCCATTTCACTGTACTAGGAAAAACTGGCTTTCATTTACAGTTCACAGCCCTTGCTCCATGTGGAAGGGATTTTCCTACCCTTTGTCTGTGCAGTGTTATTTCTTGGATGGGAATCAATCCTGGAAAACTTAGTCTGAAAAGCACTTTTTAAAAATGTTCTGATTTCTGACCAAAGGTAACCACAAGACTCTTGCAACTTTAAGCTGCATCAGTCCTGGCCCATCACCCATCCTAATAGACAATTTACCAAAATATGTAACTCAAGGCAAACCAACAGTTGCAGTTCTTTCCTTCATGCCCACTGCTGGTTTATTGTGACAGCAGAGGGACGTGGCCCACTGCCATATGTCCCTGCAGCTCTGGGCTAAAGCCTCCCATTCCCTGTGAAATACAGCTGATATTTCCATCCACAGTAACCTATTTGCAAAGCATTCATTTGCTCCTTACTTTATGGGGAGCTACTAAAAGACTGCCATTTTATGACCCATTAAAAAAATGAAAAAATTAAATACAATTGTGAAAGACATTTGCTGGAAGTAATACATAATTTACCTCCAATTTTCACGCACTGAAAATTAAACTGGCAACTGCTCAAAAAGTTACTAAAATTATGGTGACAAAGGTATTTCAGAATCAAGTGCCTGCATTAAAATAGCAAAAATGCTGTACATAATAGGAAGGAAAAGAAAGGTCTATGTATTTGATGGACGCTCTCCCTTCCAAGCCCTGCCTCTGGATTACTGGATAGCTTAACTGTGTGGGCTCCATTTCACCAATGTCACTTTGAAACCCTTGGCACTGCTTGCTCGGGCACAACTAATATTCAGCCCTCCCTTCTCTCCAGCCCAAGCAGAGAGCCTAAGGCCAGCTGCATAAGGCAGGGAAAGTTCCCCTGGAGCAGGGCTGCAGCCCTGCCTACCACGTTCAGTGCAGTCCCGCTGTGCCACGGGCCGGCTGTGCCTGGGGAGCACTGGGACCAGTTTACTCCAGTCAATGGGAACTGTGCTGGAGACAGGACATGACCTGCAGTTGGGATAAATGGTCAGAGGTGTTTTCCTCCCACCAGCCACACAGACATAAAAAGGAGAACTGAGTATTCCCTGAGGACAGCAAAACCTGCTAATCATGGAAATCATTATGGCATTTGGGGATTCTGGTAAAGAATTAGTATAAACTCTTCCCCTAGTCTGTCCTGGTGTAGCTTAGCACTTATACAAATTCAGATTATGGTTCTTTAGGATGCCGTCCTGTTACTCCAGAAACCTTTATCTTTCCCAGCTACATGTGCAATATACTGGCCGTCTGGGCTTAGCTTTCCATGGGAAGGGACACAAGTGCAGAGAGAGCCAAAATTTCACTGCTGGGAAATGCTAGGGAATGTGAGAGAACTGGAAGCCAGCGAGGAATTAGCTCTGATCTCATGGAATGACAGCAACCTGCAATAAGAGGGTATGAAATGTCATTATTATGTTAAATTAGACTATTAATTCAGCTCAGGATCCTATGGCCACCGCATAATGTGCAGCACTTAGTTCTGCTCACGCGCTCTTCGCTAACGCTCTGGGAACACTGTGTGCCCTAGGAGGGACGTGAAGGGCTGTGCCAGAAATTACTACTGATCCTAACACCACAGCCATATGGCTGAGGGGGCAGTTAGCCTATATAATTCATTGAGGATGTTTCCATCTGTGAATAGTTCCCATTATAACCTAATTGTGTCAAACTAAATGTATTTCTAAAATATTTTCAGAAGTTAACATTTATAACAGATATTAAGCCTAATCCAACTCTATTTTTTATTTCCCCCCACCTGTGTTTATCTCTCTGGCTATTTTGGAGGGGAGAGGTTGTCCCATGTGAGTACCAGGGATTGGGAACCATACTCTTTTTTATTTTTGTTGGAACAAAATGCTTGTGTAGGGATAAAATAGACAGTGCTGAAATGCCCAATCGCAGTGAGTCTGCAAAGGAAGGAATTAGTGCAGGTAGAAGCAGTTGTGATCCACTGCAGCTCCCTGCCCAGTGCTGCAGGGGAAGCACAGCTGTTTGCAAGGAAGGATAATGCCAATATCCCATCAATGGGTGTGCATTAGCCATGGGCACTTCTGTGATGGGGATGTATTGCATTCACCTGAGCACAGAGGCTCTGCAGTGGGGAAAAGAACAGGTAAACAGGTTAAAACAACCTGGCCTGGAGCTGGCATCCCACCAACTGGGGAGCAGCAGGAAGTCAAAAGGGGAAGTACAGCTTGCTGCCTTTTCTGCTGGTGCTGGGAATGGCTGCAGTTTGTGTCAGAGAGCTGCCTGGCTGCTGGGTTACAGTGAATCTTGAAGAGGGCTGAGGAAGCCCAGAGCTCATCCTGGGGACTAGAACCTCCTCCTGCAGCAGCAGGAGCCTGCTTGCTCTCCTTCCCAAGGCGCTTCCCAAGGTACAGTTGGGTTCTGTTGTGGTTTTGCTTTTTCATAGTAGTGACCAGTGCTAGATGGAGTGGGAAGTACCTCAGTCAACATGCTGCCTCTTAGGGAAATCCAATCAAATCCTCATTTTAATTGCTCCCCTTGTCTCTGCATATGATTTTTCCAAGTGATATGTAGTTACCATATAGGTTTTAGACTAAGGATGAGACATAGAAAATCAGTCCTTAGAACCACACTTGAATAGTGACACGAGCTGCTGAGCTCTTGAGTGGCTCAGTACTCTGCGCAAGCACTGCCCCTTACATTAATGGCAAATTCAGCTTTGTGGCCAAATGACACTCCTGCTTTCATAGCCACAAAGGCCATGCCAAGGCTAGTTAGTGAACAGCACCACAGAAAGGGCTTGGTGTCACTTAGTTGGAAAGAGGACAGAAATGCTCTACATACCCACAAAATATTAATCCATTCCTGAGTGACCCTGGAAGCTACAGGAGACTGAGCTGCACTTTGCAAACACCCTTTCACTGGCACTGCTTGGTGCTTGCAACAAGTTTCCTAAAATGTTACCTCTCTCAGCAGAGGAAGGAAGTGACAAAACAAAAATAACAGTAAGGCTAAGCCATAGCAAACAACAGTAAATATGTCCTCCTCTGGTTTTTGACTACTCATTTCTGTGTTACAAGGGAACTCAACTAAGGTCCCCACA